CAATTCTACAATAAAATGAGATATGGAATGAAATATAAGCTTGCCTTGTGACCCAGAAGCACTCACGGATGTGTGGGCTAGTGGTATAATGTCGAAATTATACGTTGCTTTAGCCGAGTTCGATTCCAGTCAAGGGTTCTGACGAGCCCCAGACGAGGTTGAAATTATAGTCCAGCCTTTTAATTATGATCCAAGATGGATATTACCTCGAGTAAAGTTAATATTCATGCGCAGTCATACACAAAACCTACATTCTTTCTCCTTCGCATTTCTTCGTTAAATTTTTTTCCTTTAAAACGCACTTAAAGTGAACTAAATTCATGGAAGCCGATCAATTAGCATGAGGCCCAGTTTTCACGCTATTCCATATAGTTTTACTTTTTAGTGTGAGTCAGTCAAGAGTCGTCAAGGCTTAATCGCCCAAGATTAATCTCGTTGATGAGCTCATATTCACAATTAATAAGTTTCAATGTTATCGGTAGATCTAGCCACTCTAGACCGCTATTGGTGATGGCGAACCATCTCAGCTTATTCATCAGCTTTACTGGGTTCACCAACTTTTATGGACTGAGTCGCTCAATCGTGGACTCTTCTTGGAGTAGGTTCACTGCTCAAGTGTCAGATATGTATGAAGTCTGGCCCAAAGCATGTTCTTAGCTTGACTACTCAGACTATTTGTGGCAATCGTTTGAACATAGCTATTGCAGTAATGATAGAAGCGAGGTTATAGGAGTCGCTACATACTCCATAGCAGTTCCAGAAAGGAGTTTCATCAGAAGACGCTTCGCTCAAATAGTGAAGATTATTAGCATTTATCAGTGGTCAAACTGCCCATGCTGTGAGACTGGATGTATTCGTTCTGATGGTTGCCATTGGATGTTAATATGCAATAGGCGAAAATAAGCTAAGTGATAGTTGGTAGGTCATGTTGCCGTGCCAATTGAGAAGCCAGACTTTAGGGGCTTGCTCAGTGAGGCTGGTGTATACGTGCTATGAAAGGTTTGAGGCAGAGTGTAGATCATAACGCCTTGAGTAGCACGGACACGGTAGCAACGATGGCGCGAAATCACTGAAACAGGCAGACAAGGTAAGGGCCCTTCGTAGCAAGAGGACTCTGATAGGACCCGAAGGGAGAGGATTGTGGATTAAACCGCAGTCTTGGATCAACACTCCCGGCACAGTGGGAAGGATGTGGAAACCAGCGGGGAGTGTGAATAGGTTTCAAATAGGTTTAGATAAACAAGAAATTGTGATAGTTAAGGGATGATACGAGGGTATAGGTTAGGTGAATAGCCCGGGTCAGAAAGAGAGATACCACAATTGTTTAGCGGACGATTGGCCAAAGGAATGACTTCACTTGACTCTGACGAGTTGTAGTGTGGTGCTAAGAATGGCAAAGATCACTGACGAGTACGGCGAAACATCTGGGAGTGTACCAAGTGCACGATGTGACTCTGGAAATTATCATTCACACTCTGGACTCCGGACAATGTGTCCTATTCTTGGTCTACCTGCCAATATTACCAAATTACGCAAACAAGGTCAAATAACTTCTATCCAAAGAAAGAATACCTCATAGTCGTATTTGAGTAGGGTTTCGAGA